GTTTCGCTATTTACTGAAATGAATTTCCCTGATAGTCGCCTTTTTCTGCATTCTCTGCCACTACCACCAACTCACCTATACGCAACCACTATTTATTCCACCTCTTTTCTTCTCTTTCCTTCCTGACCTGCTGATCGGAGCACGGTGGGGGGCGCAGGCCCTCATCCTTCGCCCCATGTCAAAAACCGCAGCGTATGAGCCCGGCTGGGTTTTCCCCTTCTCGCGGAGGTAGAGCATGGACCAAGAGATACAGCACACATGGACAGCTAAGCCCTGCCCGCTGTGGCCGGGACGTGCGCACAGTTAGGAGCTTTTATCGAAGAATTCGTAAATCGGTTCCAAGAGAGCTCGGAGAGTGGAAAATATACGAACCGATCGGCAATTTGCTGGCAGGAACATGCATGACGGGTCGCGCCATAGGTGAGCCGTAATTTCTTTAAAAGTATCGAAAATTCGTATTTTGCTTCCAGAAGAGCTCAGTCAGTGGAAAATACCGAACCAAAGAATCGATAGGCAATCAGTTGGAGGACGCGATGAGTGTGGCACACCTATTATGGGCGGGGCGTTTCGTAGGCTGGTGGTGCCCGCTACGGAACACTCAAAGGTTCGTAATTCGCTTTCAAATCAGCTCATGGAGTTGAACATGTGGGAAACGGTAGCGAATGATGGATGGAGGAGGCACATTTGCTGTACGTTGCTGAACGGCTCTCTATTTTTCAGGAATATGTGAAGGAAGACCCACTTGACGCGGAGAAGGAGGATCGGCATTTAAGCGATTCGAGTAGTTCTCCATTTTTAGATATGTGTGGGATTAATGCACTTCATACGCATATGACTGGCCCTCTATTTTTCGGAAATGTGTGGGAGAAAACCCTCATCACACGCAGAAGGAGGATTGGCTGGCAAAGCCGGCCGATCCAACTGGTAGATAATAAGCTTGTGTGACAATGAATGTAATTTTGAGCAACTGTTCTGTAACAAAATTGAGAAGGGTTCATGAGGAATCCGCTTGTCTACGTCTCCTATTCTGTAGTGAGTAATGTTAACAATTACTTCCCCCTTCCCCCCCCCCTCACCTCACTACCCGTTCAACATCAAAATTTTTGGGAAGAACAAGGAAATCGTGAATTTCCGTTAAAGGTAGGAAGTTGGGGAAATCTAAGAAGTGGTAAGTAAGATGAGAGAATAGGGGATTGAGGGGGAGGGGGAAAGGTACGGATCAAGCCACCTTTCAGGGGTAAGGTCATTCTGACTCGACCAAAATACCCAACTAATAATGTGCGCTGGAATCCGAGGGAAATTGCAGAAGCAGTATATGTAGCAGCAGCAACGCCTCAACTGCCATCCGCATCAGGAATTCGCATTTTAAGTAATTAACCAGTCGGATCACCCGGCTGCCGCCGGGTGCTCCTCCTTCCGTTTCAGGGCCCGGCTACGCCGAGCCGACCTGGCTTCTTTCCCTTGGGCGAGGTAGAATGCGCTAAATGTGCCAGACGGTGGCAGTTATTTTTTTTATTGAAACTAGGAAAATGAGTTGAAAAAAGCTCAACATCTGGTTACTTATGCTTACTACAGACCCTGAACCGTGAGGAGGCTGCACCTATCATTAAAGACCGTAGCTGCGACATCAGAATGGGTAAAGTTGAATTAGTCCGGATGAGTCCTTAACAACCGGAAGAGGCATAACTGCAGAGGCATGAGTGGCACTGAAAGGAGAACTTCACATTGCTTGTACATGTCAAAGTGTGTGCCAACAGGACGTCCCCACTCCCAATTGTTGTGTTCCTTCCTTATTTTGCTTCATTTCCGACCGCCACCTCCTAACACATCAAAGACATCACATAGCAGGCAGATTTGCGAAAAATTTTTTGATTACTGAATCTTCTCGATTTTCCCGTTTCAGGCGCACTATATACCCCCCCCCCACCCGTTACTCCCCCTCCCCGCTCGACACACATTTCATGCAACTAATAGCAAACACTTCAATGGACGACCTTGATACCGTACATCGAAGGAAAGAATTCACGTACTGAGCTTCTAATACTTGGTATTAAAGCGGTAAGAATTGATAAAAATGTGGCGCAGATGGTATCTTATCCGTTTTTATCGATTGATAAGATTACCTGTCACCCGTCACCCGTCAATGTCCTCATCGCCAAATCTCTGAGATTTGGTAGCGTGAACCACCCCGAACAGCGACGACGACTGCAATTTCTCTTATCAGTCTCTATCAGTAGTTATCGCTTCCAGTCACCCACGGTTGATGTCCCCATCTCACCCTTTATATCACTTGCTGGAACGCATGCACCGCTGATGCTGTGACCTGCGCTATGAACACGATGAACCTCACCTTTCTAATGCCCCTTATCGAATCTTATCAGCAGCTTACAGTTCTTGTCACCCACCAATAATGTTCTTGGCCCATACCCTACATCATATCTAGGAATCAAGAGCTAGCTGATGCTGTCACCCGCGTTATGAATATGGTATTCTTCTCCTTCTAACGCCCCTTATCGAATCTTATCAGCAGCTTACAGTTTTTGTGACCCACTAATGATGTTCTTGGCCCATACCCTATATCATATCTTGGAATCAAGAGCTAGCTGATGCTGTCACCCGCGTTATGAATATGGTGACCTCCCCCTTCTAACGCCTCTTATCGATCTTATCAGCTGATATCACTTCCTGTATCACTCACTACTGCATAGCTGGACTAGTGAACGCTATGAATTTCTCTTGAATCTTCTTATCTTAATCAACTTCTTCTTATATTATATCTATCTCACAGACACACACANACATACACAGTGATTATATATTATAGGTAGTAATTTGCGTTTGTCGCGTTTCTTAACTAGCTCTATCATTAGAGCGCAAACCACAAGACTTGTCACATACGCACCTCCAGCTGAGCGTGTGTTCGTGAAGCACAACGCAAAACTCAAGTGACTCGTAATTGGAAATTGGGATCTACTCATCCAAAGCTCTATAGTGATAAGTTGGTCAGTATGGTCCTTGCTTCAGCGCGCAAAACTCCTGTCAACTCCTGACCCATTTCAGTGGTTAACGAGAATGATCCAGAGTGCTCCAGCCGAACGAATTACTTTGTCAGATTGCAAGAAAGATACGATAACATCCTGCGAGAAGAAGCAAATTTATCAAAAATACTCATAAACGCCACCGATTTCTCTCTACAAGGATTTTTCAGTTGAGCATAAAAGGACAACTTTGTTCGCAGCATAGCACTAGGAACACTTTATCAGTCTGCTAATCGAACTCGGCTCGATCAGTTAAACTTCAGCTAGTAGCGTTTCCTGCTTCTTCAGAGTAGCGTCTTATGAGGGATAGTTTGGTCCGCTTGTCAGCTTTCTTTTCAGCGTAGTATCTGTCACTTGTCTGTTTCAGTTCTAAATTTTTCGGGTTGGCCTCAACGGCTGCTTTCAAAAAAGCTTCAAGCACGTTAGCCAAGGGAGTCTCAGCATAGTGACAATCCTTTGCACCTTCGCATTTCTCTAATGCTTTGGCGGCCTCATTAATGCGAATGAAAACTAGAGAAAAGGTGTCGGGACTCGGTGAAGGTTCGGTCGCAAATTTTCTAATCTTTTTCAAGAGAATCTCCAGCTTCATCGCAACAGGGCTGGCTATTTCTGCCATGGCTTTTTCCAGAACATTTGAGTTGGTCCATTTCTGCCGTTTTTGATTTCGAGGAAGGCGTGGGTGTGGTTGCTGCTGGTTTCGTAGTAGTGACGCCAGACGGTGGCTTTTGAGAGGTGAGTGAACCTGAAACAAAGACACAAGTGAGGAGGAAACCGATAGCTGCACTATTCTTTGGAAGTTTGTTAACCCCAAAAGTAACCCAATGTTTCGTGTTTAGACCTTCGAGGAAGGCTCTGAATTTTCCTCATTGCGCACTTACGGAGGGTGTTAAATGCTGGATAGTATTTGATCAGGTAATCTTGCGCATCCTTCGATAATCCGTTGAAGTTTCCCAGCACCCTGGAAGAATTTATAAAGCAAAGGTGATAAATAAAACCAAATATCATAAAAAGCCTGAGCGAAACTCACGCCTTCGTCTGCTCTGATTCATCCTGATGATTCCGCACGTTTTGAGCACCTCTGTACAGCTAGAAAGCGAAAGTTTTCTCATAAATTGCACTCGCCTAGCGAAGGAATACTTACAGCTTCAACGAAGCGAGCAGCGCCCGGATAATTGCTATAAATTTCACTGTAGTTTCTCCGAAATTCCACCATTCTCTGATGTAGCGAAGGATGACTCCTCTTGAGTTCCATGTCGTATGCTGTCTGAAAGGAAATTACAACTCAGGCATACTTATTACTCTTCTCAGTTGTCGCTTGGACTTACATATTCTTTTACAACCCGTGGAACTTATAACAAGCCTGGCAATAGCGCATTGACTGTGTACAGCGGCCTTCTATTACAAACCTACAGTCGCTAGTGACTCTTTAGGGAATGAAAAAGCAGGAAGCAGTTCAAGACGAATGTCCTTAAAACGCCCTGCGGACCTCACTGCACCAGTACTGCGGACGAACTCGTTTCATGCCAGCAAAGCGATATCTTGCCGCCTTTTCACTAACCTAAACGTAACTTTCTTCGCACCTTCAAGTGCTTAATGCCATTTAGTGGCAAAAAAAAGAAAAGCACGGTGTAAAAACTGAACTCGTAACAGAAACTAGCATCTGGATTTCGGTGGGCGGTACGACTGAGCAGGTGCCAGAACTGCCACTTTTAAAGGCACGTTCCGCGATAAACTAAGGCTAGAACCTCATAAACGTGCATGATGATCAAGCAGGCAACAGTAGAGGATATGCTGCTTTTAAAAGTTGAAAAA